TTAACATAGTGAAAATGCCTTGCTCGTGACGGAGAGCTTGGTAACAGGGGACGTAGATAGTTGGTTTGGATCGAACCTCCATAACATATCGTTTGCACTCTCTAACTCCCTTTTACTTATCGCTTTTATATTTGTGCTTATTATTTGGATTAATCTATTTAATCTTTATTTGCTTGAATTTAAATTAATTTTTCGAAAAAGTTCTAATAACATTTATTTATGCAGCCCAGGTCCTATTTAATTTCAATTCTAGCTCTTCAATTCATATGGTGTAGATTTGATCTTCAAACTTCCCATCTAATAGCAAATTAATCCTTCTTTCTTTTCTAACTACTTCAAAATGAGTCAATAACTGAAACAAGAGAAAATTAATCCAAGTAAAGTAAAATTCAGTAATTTGACAACATAAAAACTTAGCAATATAGCCCATATAAACGCACAAAACACACTTACAAATAGTCATTGTTTGGTTTAACTAAAAAATTAATAAATTTTTTAATTAATGTTAATAATTAATTTTTTTAAAAAAAATCTCATCAATTTTTATCAAAATCTACTAAAAATTTTTATTTTTAGCAAAATCAAACATGGACATAATATCCAATCAAACGTGGCATGTATGGACCTTAATTTCATCTTCCAAACTTTTACACCTAAACTTTGCATTTTTAGTCATTCTTTAACTATTTCATCAATAATAATAAATGCCTTCAAAAAAAAAAAAAAAAAAATCAAATCAAATCATAACACTTGCTGTTGGGAATTCGGGACTAATTATTTTCTAAAATTTAGAAGCCTTGTTTAAAAATGTTTTTTCAAAATAAATTTTTTTACACTCATTTTCAACAAATATTCTCCAAAAATAATTATTTTTTTACATTTTTTCCATTATTTTTATCTAATTTTTAACCACACATTCTTTAAAAATCACTTTTCACAAAATTCACATAAAGAGTTTATCTTAAATTGAAGCATATCTTAATTATTACAAGAAGTCAATGATAAGTATAATCATTCATTTGGCTTATTTTATGTCTACCTTGAATCATGATAATCTTAAAGAAAATAAGTCAGAAGTCTCTCCAAACGATCCATAAATGAGTAGTTATGTGTATATTAATTTCTCTAGGTAATTTGAGCTCTATCTTCATAATGTTTAGCCCTTCTAGTCTTGTTGAAAATTGTATCCATTTTAGCTAAGGAAAGTATGTTAAGGACCCATGTACTTATTTCATTTATGGATTGAGGATCTTCGACGCTATTTTTCCTAATCTTTATGTTCCAAATTAATAAGAGTAAAGCATAAAAGGAATACTTATAAGTTAGTAAGTAAATTTTAAAATAAATAAATTTTATTGATCAAGTTGAAAAGAAGCTATACTTATAATTGAGAGTAAGCTAAAATTACTAAAATATAGTAAATTCTTATATTCAAAATAAGAAAAAAGTAAATCAAAAATATTTAGAAACAAAAAATTACTTAAAAGTAGCTTTACCTTTTCAAGCGTATCGTAGTGCCCTTAAGTTACATATGTATTGTGGTCAAGATTTTGAATAACTTCGTTCAATATATTGAATTTGGAACGTATTGAACCCAAATTTATGACGATAGCATATACAAAATCTTGGATGAAAAAAAATGAATTCAATATCACAAAGTAAACTGATTATATCAAATTTAAATATGGATTTAATACAACCCTTTGAATGCAACTGAAAAAAAAAAATTCATTTATCAATGAATGGTTCTAGATAGGAATTACATTATTTTCATCACTAAAATTCTAGGGGGCTCTAAAGTTCTAATATTATATAGAATTAGATAATATTATAGACAAAATTTCACCTTGAATTTTGTCTTTCACACAATATGAGTACAATTCAATCCAACTTGCTGAACATAGCTCTAAAGAACTGCACTTGACCCAAGAGGAGACAGAGTTCCAGGACTGAAAAGAACAGATGAACACCATGCAAGAGATGATGGTGACATATTGAACCCAAGAGGACTGAGGGCTCCAAAAATGTGATCTGATGGCTTTATGGCCTTTTCCTTGTGTGTTTCAGTCATAAAATCACTGAATTTGGAAGCTGGTGGTGTTTTAACTTGATCAGGATGAACTAGTGGCTGTTGCCACGGTGGAGAAAGGTTGAGAGGTGGCGGCGCCACCTCCTGCAGCCGCGTTGTATGGAATTCAGTTGCACTAGTAAGCTTTTGGACAACCTCTTTAAAATTATCAGGATCCACCTTGTAGACTTTTGGTGGGATTGGTGGAAAAGGTGCTATCGGTTTCTTCATCGGCTTCATTGGGAGTTTACGAACAGAATGGAGTGCAGAACGAAAACTCGAGTTATATTTGCCTCTCTTTTCTTCTTCTTGGTGTGAATAAATATTATTTGAAGACAAAGAATAAGAAGAAGACGATGATGAATAGGAATACGAGTCCATTATTGTTGCCTTATGTATAAAATGTGAACTATGAAAAATTAAAGCAAATCTTGATGAAAATATTATCTACTTTTGGTTATATATATAGAAAATTGTATGCAAGTTGCAAGAGGCAATATTCAACGCCAAAGGGAAAGAGAAAGAGACCTTGAATGAATAGTTCAAAGTTTTATTTGTCGTGAAGCGACGGCGTTCAGGGGGTGGCTGACGATTTATTACATACTCGATCTGGCGCACAAGTTTGACCAACATTTTTTGTTATAAAAATTGTCTCCATTATTGTTTATTTGATTTTTTATCTTAGTCTCGTTGAATTCTTTGAATTATTGCACGAGTAATATATTATAATGCAGCTTTCATTACAGCCGTCGGACCTTATTTCTTAATCCGTGTCCACATAATTAGGACATGTAATTTGGATTCCGTTTGAGATCCATTTTTTTTTTATCCAAAATGTATTTTAAAATAGTATTTTGATGAGAAATATGTAATTAAAAAATAAGAAAATATTTTTGATTTACATTTAATATTATTTCACTGAATAATGTATGGTTAAAAATAAGAAAAGGAAAATTGTATTTTAAAAATAATGAGGACCAAACAATGACTTGATGTAAATTTTTTGAAAAGAATTAATGTTGTGTTTAGTATCGTTCTAGGTAGCAGTGGAGCTCATTTAGACTTATCCAATGAAGTTAAGATGCATTTTAATGCATTGGATAATTAAAAGTGGACATTCACTATCACATAGATTGATGCTAAATATTAGTTATGTTAGATAGCATTATTCTTATGAAAAATGATATTTTTGGAGAATGCGTAGTTAAAAAGAAAGAAAATGTTACAAAATTATTTTATTGGTAAAACATGTCATTGAAAATGAGTTTAAGAAAACAAGTTCTAAAAAATACGTACCAATAAGGGCTTAGTATATTATTGTAAATTGAAAAAATTACAAGTATAGATATCAAGACCATCGAACCTTGTTTTTAAATTTAGCATTCACCCTTATTAATACTCTCTACGTCTCATAAAGAAAAGTTTGCGTTTCTTTTTTGTCTATCCCAAATATAGTCCACTTTCCTTGTTCAGATTATAGACTTTTTTTTTTAATTTTCTAATATGTCCTTATTTAATGTATCTTGTTATCAACAAATATAAATTAATATTTAGAACACTATTTAACTTAACAATATATTAGGAAAAATGTAAGATACATTTCTAACTACATTAATTACATTTTCTTAAGAATGAAAATGGAAGAAATTCTATCTTTTTACGAATGAAAGAATAGTATATGGACTAATATCAAATCTCAAGAATAGAAGATAAGAAAATGGCTTTTCTCGTAGGACACATAGCTAGTGTCGCATGGGTGAAGCCAAGCATAGAGACTTACCTGGTGTATGGGAGACAAAAATGCTCGATGTACACTCTAAATGTGCATTTACTTTGACATTTGATGTGTTGTTAAAAAGAATTGGAGGGAAAGTTATTTATTTTTTTAAATATCCAATAGTGTGTTGACATGTGGCAAAGTGTAAATGATGATACACATGTGGCATGATTGTATATGCAATTGGCTCAATCTGATTTAGATACTTATTGTGTAAGAAGTAACAAGTACTTGGTCATGGGTAGAAAGGTTTCGAACTTCTAATGTTGGCCTTGAAAAGTTCTTTGAAATTTTTCTCAGACTTTTTTCACTGGGAAATTTATTTTGTAAATAAAGTTTTAACTCAAGTGATAAGATCGAAACTTTACCAGATTAATGAGTTGAATTCATCCCTTCTTTAGGAGGTGGGATCAAGCCCTTGTTTGAGCCCCATTTTTTGAGCAAAAATACACTTTGTAAGTGTTTTGTGAAAAATGTGCGGTTAAAAAATAAGAAAAATTTTGGATTTACTTATAATATTATTTTATAAGAAAATCGACGAGAAGCGGTTAGCTACTAGTCACTCATCATTCACATTCATGTTTTTAAGTTCAAAGTATAGTTGGCAATTTCGTTAATCAAAATTATGTCTTAATTGAATTATATTAGGAGTTTATCAAGTTGTTATCAAAATCAAAATAGAAGTTATTGAGTTCTAATTATAGCAAAAGAGTAGTGGTTAGTAGTATATTCCTTGAAAGAGTCCAAAATGTTCAAGAATATCACATATGATCATTGGAATGTAATTAGAAGTATAAAGAGTGTCAAAAAGCTGCACAAGTTATGCTCCAGATTCTCAACCACCAGTTGCAATGCATTTTTCACATAGAAAATATTGTAATTTGGACAAGGCTATTCTATAAGAATTGTAATCAACTGAGTTAGTTTTCCAATACATTTTGAATCACCTTAATCAGACATCGAGAGAGAAAGTTATGATAAAAATACTAACTATGCTTAGCTGTCACTCTCATGTTTCTCGACTAGCGCTCGAGCAATGTAGTTATCCGAGAAACAATAATATTCTATTTTCAAGTTGATTTTGAGTACATTTTTATCCCAAACACTACCTGTTATAGATATACACCATATGAGACGTTTAAAAATATGTTGAATCATATTTATTTCATACAGATAAATTCTTTGATGATATAAAACATTCTTTGATTCCAAAATTCAACCACCACATATTATTTGAGCTATAAATTTATTCAAAATTTGATTTGTTGTTCTAGTCATATTGTTTCACATTAAACCGCTGATCAAAACACACAAATATCGTTTGATCAAACATCAACCCAAAGAATGATGAGTTCTTCATTTAATCCACCGCAGATAAATCAGTACCAGGAATCGGGAGTTGTTGCATAAGCACAAATTCAGTAGAATTAATGTGAGAAACCACGAGTCGGGATATAGCTTTAGTAGCACGTAGTACAGGAGGGCTAAAGTATAAACTAGGGGTTGGGATTTGCTTTGAAAGAGTACACCTCCACTAAAATCAAGGGAGAGTGAAGGAATTGAGTTTAGAAGTTCTAGGGGTTAGACAGATTTGGACCATACTGTAAGTTTCTTCAATTTATAGTGGATTACAGACTGACAAAGTGTTCGAAATTTTTACCCAGTTGAGATTTCTCCGTGATCAGCTTGGTGTTCTTTATTACTTTCATATTACAAATTATGGTAATTCAACATATGATAAATTGACATAATTGAATAAACATCTAAAAATAATTAAAAAGTGGCATGTTGCGTTTAATTGTGTAGTTCCGCACGTGGGTCTAAGTAATTTAAAACTTTCAAATGGTATCAGAGCTTAATTGCGATCATTGACCCAAAAATTGTCTAGATGAGTTACTCACATTTTGATGTAGGATCTTAGGATGATATAGATATTCATGAGGCTTTTGATAAGCTATATAAGGAGAGTCTCAAGTTATATAAGGTCGATAGATCAATTTTTAAGAAACTGAATAAGCTTGAATTAGAAAAAGAGAGCCTTATGACTAAACTTGAAGAGTTTACGAAAGGATCGAATGAATTAAGGTTTGAAAATGAGTTCTTGCAAATTAAGGTTAAATCTCTTATGAGTAATCTTGAAAAATCAAATGCCCAACTTCAATTTTTTTTCTAGCGGATATAAGAAAATTGATAACATTATAGGTTTGAATAAAACAATTGAGGATAGAAGAGGTGTAGGCTTTAATGAAACAAATTCTCATACTACTTCATCTTCTAAAAATAAGTTTGTACCTACTTCAAAACCTAATGTTCGAAACTTGAAATCTAAAGTTGCTTCTATGTTCATCCCCACGTGTCACCATTGTGGTAAGCTATGATACATAAGACCTAAGTTTCGAGAGCTCTTGAATAGGAACACTGCCAAGAATATAGGTGTCAAAGGACCGAAATCATAGGTAAGCATATGTTTCTTCCACCTAAGGTTCAAAACTTGAAATCCATGATTGTTCCTAAATTCATTCCCCACATGTCATAATTGTGGTGTTTTAGGTCACATTAAAGCTAAATGGTGTAAGCCCTTGATTAGGAAAAATAAACAAGATTTAACTAGTCATGTTAGATTCCCGACTAATCAAGTGAGTCGCTTGACTGCGTTGATGACTCAATTGACTAAGATTACATATTCTTCCTCTAAGAAGATTTTGGTAAAAAAGAGTGAACTCACGAATCAAGGCGATGATTTATATTGCGGTATTGCTCGCGTTGCTCTTCTTGGTAAGAGCGTTTCTGAGCCTCACCGAGTACATAACTAGATGCATGCATCTGCATTATTCATGGAATTTCCATATTCATGCATGAACTCTAAACTTTTTCCTTGTTTGTTTTGTATATTATATATTATCTTGAAAAAAAAAATGGGTGAAAAAAGATTTTCTTTATTTTTTTGGACATGCTATTTTGCTATCAAGTACTTGTTAGGTTCATAATTGGTAAATTAAATTTTCATTAATGTGTTTAAAACTTATTTGAAGTACTTGGTATATGTTATTACATGTGTCATATGTATTGCACACATTAGACTCTTATAAGTGGGTTTTGACAGGGTGTTTGAGATTTTGGATGTCAATCATCTGTGTAGTGAATTGACTTTAAATATGGAATGACATTTAAATTGGTTGACCTAAACTCTTATATTTCCAATAAAATAAATATTACTATTGAGTTTTAAAGAAATTTTTTGAATTATATAAAATGTTGTGAGACAATCTTATGCTTTTATTCGTAGCATATATAACCCGAGTGATTAAGCTTGTAGAATATCTTAATACCTGATTCCCATAATTCATCTGAATTTAGAGTTATCGACCTAAAACTTGTTACAAGGATTATGTAGAAAGTTTAATGAAAAAGAGTATGCACATAAAAATTGAAAAGTAAAAGAAAAATATACATATAAACGTACTGACAGATGGGGGGAAAGAAAAAAATTATATAATTAATTATGAGCTTTTTAATTTATAAAGGTCCTAATAATACTATGTTTGACTTCATACTTTGAAAAATATATTCGTTCACTAGTTATTTTTCGCATGTCCTTGCTCAT